CCCCAAAACCCCAAAACCCCAAAACCCCGGATGAATATAATTCACATATTATTGAAATGAAAAAATATAATGGTCCCTTAAATGCTTATACTAGAAATATATAAATATAATTTATTAACATTCATTCATGAAATAGGATTAAAAATTGATAAAAGAGGCTATCCTTTTAGAATATGTTGAACGTAATGAAAAGTATATCTTTGATCCATATTGGTATTAGTAATAAGAATAAAAGAAACAAAGAAGGCAAACACGCTACAAAATGTTACTCAAGTAATAAGACCCACTATCTGCAAGGCTTAACAATCGTTTACTTTCATTTTCAGAATTGCAAGCCCCTGCTTAATAAATTATAGAGCAAGAGAAACTAGATAGCAGTGAATATAAAGTATCACTAAATAGTCTGGAAAAATAACTCAGTCATAAGAGTCCAAGGCGAGAGCTGAGTGACACTACTTAGGATCGAAGAGAGTTAAAATAAACTATGATAAAACTGACAAAAATAAAAAAGAGTAAAAGGAATCAACCTGCTTTTACTTAAAATAAAAGAAAACAATAATTATCTCTCAAATCTAGTGAACACAAAAAGCTGAGACCTATGCTAGATATCTATTAAAATGATTACGGTTAAAGTCATTGAAAGAATCTTAACATTACATTTGAAAATATGACTATAAATAGTAATGCAAGCAAAACTTAAATGATAGCTGGATTCAATAAATCTGATTAAAAAATTGATAAATCTATTCAAGAGAATAGAGAGAAAAATCCTAAATCATAGACTTAAATATAATTTGGCAGAAGAAAGTTGAAGAATAAAATTATAAGGACTAATAATTTACAACAATAGGCTTAAATTATGAAAGAGTCAGTTATGGAAAATAAATCACAAGATGAGCCTGAAAAAGAATAGTAAAAGGTCGAATTAGAAAACAATAGAGCAAGTAAATTATCTTTTCTGGAATCATAAGATCTAAATACCTTTTAAATTCTTGCTCAATCCTAAAAAGTAACTCCAACTGCTGAGAAAAGATAAAAGAGGGTAATGAAGCTAAGTAGACTAATACACCAGTTCAAATCTAACACCAATGCAAATAGCACACCAACTGAGATTATGTCTAACAGGTAAAAAATAAGCCATAAAACTAGTAGAAGCTTTTTGCCAGCAATTAGTCATCAACATAAAAAGGACAATTATGAATGCTACTTTCATTAAGATTTACCAATCAAACGGATAAGAAAAAGCCCGAAAAAGATGATGATTGAAAGTAGTGCGCCAAACAGAGTCCATAATCAATCAATAGTTGAATAATTTAGGGACATGATTAGCCCTAAAGCAAGAAATCTCAGTGATTTAAAGCACCACATTATTATCAAGAGGAAAAAAGTACTTTAGCTAAATACAAATCAGTCTAGTGACACTTTGTACAAAAGCACATTTTTCTTTAGTAATAACAAAAGTCCATACAGAGAGAATTTAGTACTTAATTAGGATGAGAATTTTAACTAATTGAAATCTTCTAGATTATTATCAAGAAAAAATCGGAAGCTAACCTCAGGGTTATCTATGCAATAAAGTGGATAGTAAGAAGATAGATAGCCTTCATTAATGGAATCATAAAACGGAATATATCTTAAAAATCTTGTCAAAACTCAGAAGTTTTTGAGTCAACAAAGAATTCAGATTCCTATTAATCCTAAAGAAATTCAATATAAATAGTGAATGTACATTAACCCTGATAAGATTCCATTTAGAGTTTGATAATAGGTATGAGAAATCAGCCACAGTCCATATTTTAGTTGTAAATTTTCCTCAAAGTTATCTGTTTTTTTTTATAAAATGAGAATACTTAAGACTAATCACACATTATTATTAGTTAATTATAACTCATAAAACGCTAACTTATTTAATGAATTATACTATTCTAGTATTCTATCAATCTTATATTTAAATTCATGGACATACGGGGTTTTGGGGTTTTGGGG